GCAGCGCGCATGGGTGGCGCGGGGGGCGGGGGCGTGGGGTGGGGAGGGGGCTGCGGGGGCGGGGAAGGGTTGCGCGCCCGAGGTTTCCCGCTCCCCCGCCCGCCGCCCCCGGCGTCCGCCCCGCGTCTGCCAACTTAGCGGAGCACGCGCTCTCTCCGGACCCCGACTCACCAGACCCTCGCCCGCTGGACCCCCGCCCGCTGGCCACCCCCCCTCCCCCCGCCAGCGGGGCTCGCCCTGCAGAGTCGCGCTCCCTCCGGACCCCAGCCCGCTGACACCCTCCCCCAACCCCCGCGGCGCTGACCCCAAGGAGTCGCGCTCCCGCCGGACTCCGGGCGGGACTGGAGCTCTGACATGGGGCCCTCACGGCGCGGATCCGGCCCGCGGGGGGCGTAGGGCTGCCTTTACCGGCGGCTTGAAGTTACTTCTCCGAGCCTACTCTCTGTCCGGAAAGCGGGCCCAAGACCCCTTACCCCAAGTCCTTGGGGCCAATTGGATGTTGGAGTTCAGTGTTTCGGATTTGAGGGTTTGGGGTGTGATGTTTGAGCAAACTCACCTGGTATCGTTGGATTCAAGACACTGAATAGCTTCGTGGCGGGTCAAACCAGGGATGACAAACTTTCACTTTGAGGGCTTTTTTGAATGTCGGATAAAACAGTGCGAACCTGCTCTCGCTTTATAGGGCCCTAGTGAGGACGAAATGAATAATGCACCTATTAGGGACTCAGCAAACGTGACTCTTAGCGCAGACGTTCGGTTTGGGGATGCCAAGAAGGTCCCTGGACTCAGCAAGTGATCCTCACCCAATGGGTGGGGCCGCCCGGGCCCAGAGAGGAGCAGGCACCCACGCGGTGAGGTGCGGCCGGGTCCTGGGATGCTCGGCCTGGTTATGGGGCCACACTGGGTGTTTGTATCTTGGCACACTGTGGGTGGACGTTGTGGAGGGCAGGACTGGTCATACTCTCCCACCAGTGACCTTCTCAGAGGCAGCGACAGGCCCTGCGTTTGCGCCGAAAAGGGTGTGGGCATCTCAGTCCAAGGCCAGACCTCCCCAGCTAGTTCCTGCCTTACTCTGGGTGGCTGGACCCAAAGGGCCCTTCCAGAGTAGTTCTCCTACCTTTCCTACCTTAGAGGGTGTTTGGGGAAACAGGCCTCCTGGGTGGTGGCTGGACTTGTGGGACGGAGGCAGAAGCCGGGTCTCCCGATGTGCCAGCAGGGGCACGGCGTTCTGTGTGTGCGTCTGCCCCAGGGGCCAGCTGTCTTGGCCTGGCAGGTAGCTGCGTGTTACAGGTGGATGGGGCAGACTCTCAGCCGGCCCGCCCCGAGCGCTGCGGGGTTTGGCTGTTGACTCTGCCCTGCCCAGTGTCACGGCAGCCGGGTGTCCAGGGTGCCCCTGTTGTCCTGTGTCCAGTTTGGGGTGGTGCCTGTTGAGTGAATTGGGGTTGTTTTCCTAAAAGAAAGTCCGAATGCCTGGCTCCGTGGGAGGCCCTTAGGGCCTGGCCGTGAAGGACAACAGGTGTGCAAATTCCAGTCGTGGTGGGCATGGCCAGCCTCTGCTCAGGTGACCCGTTGTATTTCTGGAGCCTCTTACTCCGTGTGACCTTGGGTCGGTCACTCTCTCTGAGATGGGGAGGTCTCATGAGATCATGGCTCCGTGCTTGCACAGAGAAGCTGAACCTTGTGCAGTCACTGTCTTGAACTGATAAAAATGGCGGTTCGTAACCGAGCTGTAAGTGCTTGATCAGGATTAGCTGCCTGATTTTTGTGTAGTAAATGCCGCCAAAGTAGCCAGCAGCACCGTGAGAGAAGGTGGGGTGCTTCATGCTGCTTTCCTCGCGGATCCCAGCTTGCTCTTCGACAAACCTGAGTCCCCCGTCTCTGTCCTGTGCTTAAAAGACACGGCTTTTTGTTGTCCTCAGGGGAAAGCGCGTCTCCTCCCCGTGACCCTTGGCCGGGTGGCATGATCTCTGAGGATCTCCCCCTGCACCCTTCCCCACGCCCTGGGCTCCTTCTGTTTCCCTGTGCTGTCTGCAGCCTTGCGGGGACACGCTGTGTGGTGCCGTCCCCGCTGACCTGGAGGCCTTGGCCTGGAGACGGCCACACAGGCCCCCCCTAGTTGTGCAGGCCCCCTCCCCCATTTTCTCCCCTCAGTACTGTGCACATCTGCTTGTTTGTTATCTGTATCCCCAACGAGATGGGTGACTCGTCAAGACTGGACAGGCAGAACCTGTTTGTCGATTGACTGCTGTGCACCCAGTGCCTCTTGCCTCCCAGCCCAGAGCGGGTGCTCTACAGGGGGTCAGACAGAGATGAAGTGCTGGGTGGCCCAGCGGGACCAGGCACCTTTGCTGGGTGTGGGCGGGGGGTGGGGGTTCTGGTTAACGCTGCTGCCTGATGAGTCACCTCGACACTCAGTTCCTCAAAGCAGCCATCGGTTTTTTTTTTTTTTTGCGATACACGGGCCTCTCACTGCTGTGGCCTCTCCCGTTGCGGAGCACAGGCTCCGGACGGGCAGGCTCAGCGGCCATGGCTCACGGGCCCAGCCGCTCCGCGGCACGTGGGATCTTCCCGGACCGGGGCACGAACCCGTGTCCCCTGCATCGGCAGGCAGACTCTCAACCACTGCGCCACCAGGGAAGCCCCAGCCATCGGTTTTTAATTACCTGTCACGGTTCTGAGGGCTGACTGGTCCCTCATGTGGTTGCGGTTGGTTGGTGGCCGGGCTGAGCCAGCCCCAGTGGAGGGAAGCTTGCTCGCCCACGTGTGGCTGTGATGCCGCCTGCTGGCGTGGCCTCTCCTTGTGGCTTGTGCTTCCTCACAGCATGGGCGGCTGTGGGAACTGCACTGCATTTCACAGCTTAGTCTTGGGGGTCACGTGGAAGCCCTCCCACCAGAGTCCCAGGCCCAGCCCTCGCACAGAGTGAGGAGGCATGTCGGTGTCCCGTGCGTGGAGGAACGCCTGTGGGTGGCGTGCCTGGGTGCAGCCACCTTGGAGGGTGGCCTCCCACACGTCACTGCGGGTTAGGCTCGGAGGGCTGAGCCGGAACCAGACGCTGCTCTGCTTCTTCCAGCAGCGCCTCCGTCTGAGCACTGGGCCCAGCCTTCCCGCCCTGGGCTTGCTTCCTCCTCCACCCCACTCGCCTTTGGGACCAAGTCCGTAGAATGCTGTCTTCCTTCCTTCTTTCCCCCCGCCCCCAACACTTTTTTTTTTTTCCTTCTTTTACTTTTTAACCCAGAACGTGCTTAAGTCAGCTCCTCATCCGTTTCCTTCTCCCACCTTGGCAAAACAGGGGCCTTAGGCTTGGGCGGGACCATCCAGGGTGCTGGGAACGGTGGGTGACTGACTTGACCTCTCTAAGCTGCAGGTCCCTTATTTGTCTTATGAAGAAAATGATTACACAACCTCTTGAGGACCCAGTGAGGAAATCAGTGTGGAAATTCCTACTAAACTTCTTTTTCTAAAATTTGAAAATTTAGTTTATTAACTATTGTATTCTCTCTTTCTCTCTCTCTCTCTCTCTATATATATATTTTTTTGTAAACAGCTTTACTGAGGTATAATTCATTTACTATACAATTCATTCATTTTAATGTGTGCGATTCAGTGGTTCTTAGTATATTCATAGAGTTGTGCAGCCATCACCAGTCAATTTTGGAACATTTTCACCAGCCCAAAAGAAACTGTGCACTCATTAGTCATCTCTCCCCCATCCATCTCCCCAGCCCCTGACAACCAGGAACCGACTCTCTGTCTGTGGATTTGGCTGTTCTGGACGTTTCCCATCAATGGAATCACACTGTGTGTCCTTCTGTGTCTGGCTTCTCTACTGAGCATCGTGTTCTCAAGGTTGTCCACGTGGTAGCGAGTGTCAGGGCTTCTGCTCTTTTCCTGGCTGAGTAATACTCCATCTGATGGCCATTTGGGTTCTTCCCTCCTTTGGCTGTTGTGGGTCATGCTGATGAGAACACTCGTGAACAGGTCTCAGCATGGATGAGTGTTTTTGTCTGTCTTGGGTGTTTCAGGTAGGAGAGGCTTAACTTTTCCCTCTGCCCCCCTGGGTCCCTGGCTGGGGCTCCATGGTTCAGGCTGACAAGGGCAGCTTTGGAAGAGAGAAACAAGCAGATTGTTAACCAGGTGGTGTGCGTCATGCGGAAGAACCCGGCGAGGAGTCCCCAAAGGGATGGTCAGGGCTCAGGAGTGTGTGAACATCAGGGCGGTCAGTGCAGAGGGAAGGCCTTGACCTCTGGGGGCCGTGCCTTATGGGCGGAGGGGAGTGGGGCTGGTGAGTAGACTGTGTGTGCTCTGCCTCGGGGCCGGGTCTGCTTTCTCACCTGCCTTCACTGATGGTCACCCTGTGCCAGGATAGAGTGTTGGGGGGCATCCGGTGACACCCAGGTGTTGTCCCTGCGCTGTCCCATTGCACGTCCCCCCCCCCCAGTGCCTGCATTCCCCCCACCCCTGATATCATGCGTCTCCCTTGTCAGTGTTGGGGGGCATCCGGTGACACCCAGGTGTTGTCCCTGCGCTGTCCCATTGCCCGTCCCCCCCCCCCAAGTGCCTGCATTCCCCCCACACTTGATATCATGTGTCCTCCTGGTCACAGAAGTGGTGTCTGACATGTGCTTATTTGCTGTCCCTAATGCTGAGCTTTGCTTCCACCTGCCGATTGGCCATTTGTGTATCTCCTTGAAGGAATGTCTATTCAGAGACTTTGCCTGTTAGTCCCTTTAGAAAGGGGCTGTATAATTTGCAAATGTCTTTTACCGGTCTGTGAGTTGTCTTTTTAAATTTTTAATTTTGATGAAGTCCAGTTTATCTATTTTTTTTGTTGTTGATTATGCTTTTTGTGTCTTATCTAAGAAACCATTGCCTGGTAAGAAAGATTTATCTCTATGATTTCTTCTAAGAGTTTTATAGTGTTAGCTCTTATATTTGAGGTCTTTGATCCAGTTTGAGTGAGTTTTTGTGTGCGGTGTAGGATAGGAGTTGAATGTTATTATTTTGCGTTTGGATATCCAATTGTCCTAGCACTGTTTGTTGAAAAGACTGTTCATCCTGCATTGAATTTTTCTGTCACCCCTTTAAAAATTCGCTTGACTGTAAATATATGGGTTTGTGTTTCAATTCTCAGTTCTATTAATTTGATCTAAATATCTAGCTTTATGTCAGCACCACACTGTTTTGATTACTGTAGCTTTGGAGTACTTTTGAGATTGGGAAGTGTTCTTCCTTTTCAAGATTGTTCTAGCTGTTTGGGGTCCCCTGAGTTTTCATATGATTTTTGGAGTCTGTCAGTTTCTACATGGAAGCCCGGTGGGCTTCTGATAGGCATTTTGTTGAATCTGTAGATGAATTGGGGAGTATTGACATCTTAGCAATAGTCTTTTGAGCTATGAATATAGTATGTCTTTCCATTTATGTAGATCTTTAGTTTCTTTCAATGTGTTTTGCACTTTTCAGAGTATTAGTTTTGAATTTCTTTTGCTACCTTTATTCCTAAGTATTTTATTCTTTTTGGTGCTATTGGAAATGGAATTGTTTTCCTTATTTTCTTTTTGGATTGTTCATTGCTAGCATATAGGAGTAAAGTTGATTTTTGTAGGTTATCTTGTGTCTTGCAGCCTTGCTGAACTCATTTATTAGTTCTGGTTTCTTTAGTGGATTCTTTAGTATCCTCTGTGTCCCCGGTCATGACTTGCCTTTCCAATTTGGATTCCTTTTATTTTACTTGCCTGCCCTGACTGCTGCCTCCTCCAGGACGACATTGTGAAGAGACGGTGCCCTGGTTTTGGGGGAGGCGCTAGCCATTCGCCTCAGGGGTGGCAGTAGCTGGGGTTTGGATGGACGCCCTTTTCAGGAAGTTTCCTTGCAGCCTTCATATGTCGAGTGTTTTCATCATGAAAGGGTGTTGGACTCTGTTATGTGCTGTCTCTGCACCTGCTGAGATGATTTTGGTGTGGGTTTTGTGTTTAGTCTGTCGCTGTGTTGGTTGTGTTGGGTGTCACACCTGTGCTGCATCCCTGCTCTGAGCCTCTCCTCATTGGTGTGCAGTGTTCTCTGTATGTCGTTGAACTCAGTTTGCTTGGGTTTTGTTGAGTTGTGTGTTTCTGTTTGTAAGAGACATTGGTCTAGTTTTCTTGTTCTTAGTAAATTTTTGAACATTGTGATGATGGTAGCTATTTTTTAAGACAATTAAAAAAAAGTTTATTTACTTATTTATTTGGCTGCCCTGGATCTTTGGTTGTGGCATGCGGGATCTTTAGTTGTGGCACGTGAACTCTTAGTTGCGGCATTTGGGATCTAGTTCCCTGACCAGGGATTGAACCCAGGACCCCTGCGTTGGGAGCGTGGACTCTCAGCTACTGGACCACCAGGGAAGTCCCAGTGGTAGCTGTTATGATGCTTTCATTTGCACTTTTAAAAAATTTGAGGTATAACTTATGTGCTTCAAAATATACCCATCTAAAGTGTATAATTCAGTGATTTTTAGTATGTTCACAAAGTTTTGAGATCTTCACTTTTATCTGGAACATTCCATCACCCCAGAAAAACACCTGACCCCATCAGCAGTCACCCCACCCCCTCCCCAGCCCCTGACAACCAGGAACCCACTGTCTGTCTGCGGATTTGCCTGTTCTGGACGTTTCCCATCAATGGAATCACACTCTGTGTGTCCTTCTGTGTCTGGCTTCTCTCACTGAGCGTCGTGTTCACAGGGTCCATCC